AGTCCATTCTTCATTGAGCGCGCACTTGGTCCGGTCGCATATCGCCTCCACTGTCAACGGGAGTTGTGTGTTGGCCCCGTCCACGCTTGGGCAGAGCCGACTTCGTGGTGGGGTGTACGGAAGGTACAGCCGACTTGCAGCAGTGGGCGACGCCGACTTGGGCGAGCTAGTCGACGGGGTTTGTCGACTTGCACGGGGCCACTGCAATGCCGCCGACTTGGGAAGCCAGCGGCCGACTTCTACTGGTGGTCGGCGATGTGGCACGTCGACCTGGAAGTCGGCGCCGACTTGCCAGGTCACCGGCTTGCCAGGTCACCGACTTGCCAGGTCACCAACTTGCAAGGTCATCGACTTGCAAGGTCATCAACTTGCAAGGTCACCGACTTGCAAGGTCACCGACTTGGGAGGTCGCCGACTTCAAGAGGTCACTCTGGAAGTCGGCGCCGACGTAGAAGGGGCGTCGACTTGGTGACGCCGACTTTGGGTAGCCGACTTGGGTGGTCGACTGACAACTACACTGGTCGACGTGGAGCTGGTCGACCAGGAGTGACGTCGATCTGGAGCTGGTCGACCAGAGGAGTGGTCGACCTGGTGAGGTCGACTTGGTGTGGTCGTCAACTTGGGAGGTCGACGAGCACATACAGGAGTAGCTGGTCGACATGGTTGCCTGGTCGACCAGGATACCTGGGTGACGAGGTTCTGCGAAGGAGTGCGACGGTCGCCCAGGCGAAGTTGGCGAGTCCGACCTCGGTGGTAGTATCCCGAGGTCGGCGTGGCGGATCAGGTGGAGCCGTCAGCACGAAGATGACTTGGTGCGTGCGCTGTTCAAGTGACGAGGCTTAGCCCTCCAATCATCAACGAGCACCTGCGATGTAGGTGCGCTGCTGTTCTACGGGAGCAATGCTGGCACGTCGTGAACCTGCAGCGTTGGCACGCTGTCGACTTTGCACTGCTGGAGCGTGGTCGACCAAGTCGTGCTGGAACGTGGTCGACCATGATGTGCTGGCAGTCGACCAACCTGAATGCTAGCTCTGATGTAGTCTTGCTATGCCAACTTAATTGTACCATTATTGTCAACTTTCTCAATGGAAACTCTTGCCAAATTGCCCCGTGAACTAGCAAGCCGTGTGAGCACTAGGAAAACGACCAAGGACCAACGAACGCAGAGATCACACGAGCACCCGTGCCTAGCCCGTAATCTAGCTCTCGTTGAAGCAGTTATCTCCGCATCCACCTCCCCGCTCGTTTCCGCATGCACCCGTCATCCCATGTATCGCTGATTCAAATGCCACCTTCTCGGGCCGTGATCGCACTCCACTGCTGGTAGCTCTTGACACCGACGAGCCTGACTACCAGATCCAACGCATTCTCGGGCACCACCGCCATCTCCAGGGGGGTGTCTCTTTCATCGACTTCTTGGTTCGTTGGCGTGGTTACGATGCAGCAGACGACAACTGGGTTCCTTCGTCCTCGCTGTTCCCCGATAACGCTTGTCTTCAAGCGTACCTTTAGTCTGCAGGCCCCGCGGACGTCGCCTCCTTGGGAGGGGGGCAGTGTTACGGGGTATTTTACTGTTCAAGGGTGGTTTACCCCAAACAATATCCCAACCTCATCCCAACCTAATCTTCCAACTCATCCAAGATTTCGTGGTTCTACGTGGGACTCTAGCTTTCTTGCCTTCTGCTTTTCTAGTCCCACGAAATACTTTCCAACAATCGCTCTTGCATGGTACTTCAACATTGCTTGTACTTGTCAGACTTTATATTATTTATATTTGTAACTGCCTGTAGCTGTAGTTAGTGTAGTTATTGCAAATTTTGTTAGGTGGTGCACCCTTTTGTTTCCTATGCTATATGTTCCTTGAACCTATAGTGAAACCAACTTTTCACCTTCACAACTTTCTCGACTCTCCCCCTTGGGCCCAACTCACTCGATACCTAAGTTGGGCCTAGGCTCCTAAGCCTAGGCCCTTACGTTCTAATTACTTTAACATGGTTATCAGAGCAGTTTGGTCCTGGCCTGTGGGCCCGACCAAAGCTTCCGCTGCTGAATTTCTGGTCGCGCGCCTCGGGCGCGTGACGTCTTTTTTTTCTACCCGTCGCGGACCCGCCCCTGGCGCCCGCGACGGCGCTCTGAGCCGTCGCGGACCCGCCTCTGGCGCCTGCGGCGGTGCCCTGAGCCGTCGCGGACCCGCCTCTGGCGCCTGCGGCGGTGCACTGTGCCGCCGCGGACCCGCCTCTGGCGCCTGCGGTGGTGCCCTGCGCCATCGCGGACCCGCCCCTGGCGCCCGCGGCGGTGCCCTTGAGCCGCCGCGGACCCGCCATTGGCGCCTGCGACGGTGCTTTCCGCCCCTGCACTCCCTGAAGCCGCCCCTGACATCACTGCACCGACACCTTTTCGCCGCTCTGCGGCTTTCTTCCTTCCCACCCCCCTCCTCCTTTGTCTCCCTGCAGCCGCGGGGAGGAGGGTCTGGGGGTGGAGGGTGTTGGAGTGTGGGTCGTACCCTTCCCTTCCCCTCCTCCTCCTTTTGTTCCCACTGCTGCAGCTGCCGCTGGGGGGGAGGGTGTGAGGGTGTGGGGGAGCAGGGGGAGAGGCGCCGGGGTGACGGGTGTGAGGCAACCAGCAGCCGTCCCTCCACCTCTCCTCTCTTCCCCCCCTCTCTACTGCTCCTGCAGCAGTGTGGGGGAGGGGAGGGAGGAGGGTGAGGTGATGGAGGGGGTGACCAGTTAGTGTTTGCCCGCCTGCAGTACCTGCTGTTGCTTGGTTATTATCTTGCTTGTGTTGCTTGTGTACCCCTGCAAGTTGTGTTCTGCACAAACTTCTGCTGCATGCAGTTATGGGGGAGTGTCAGACTTTATATTATTTATATTTGTAACTGCCTGTAGCTGTAGTTAGTGTAGTTATTGCAAATTTTGTTAGGTGGTGCACTCTTTTGTTTCCTATGCTATATGTTCCTTGAACCTATAGTGAAACCCACTTTTCACCTTCACAACTTTCTCGACTCTCCCCCTTGGGCCCAACTCACTCGATACCTAAGTTGGGCCTAGGCTCCTAAGCCTAGGCCCTTACGTTCTAATTACTTTAACAGTACTTGCCATTATCAACCAATTCTCATTCAACTCTTCATTTAATCAATAACATCTTTGCCTATTTCGCCAATAGTTCTTTCGCCCCAGTCTTCCGCCGTGTTTTCATCCTCGACTTAGCCGACCCCGCTAATCTTTAGCGGATTTAGGCCGAGGGGCCCAACAGTCATGAATACGTTTTTTTTTTCTCCCCGTACATTTCTCCTCCATTTCTCTGTTCATGAAATTCAGAACTTCATGCATACATTTCTCCTCCACCTCACGTAAGAACTCAAAATATAACCCAAGAAACGGCCCAGTGCCCATTGTACATGTCGAACAAGACTATGGGGGTGTTCAAATGTGCCCCCACCGACCATACTCTTCCACGAAATGCACGACCGAGTAGCGAGGAGATGGCGTGGCGGAACAACCACCACTAGGGTGGAATGCAATTTATTTTGGCGATTGGACAATGTCGGTATCAAGGGTAGGGATGTTTTTGAAAAATACCCGAGAAATGGGGTTCACTGACAATTTTTTGGATTAAAAACTGACACGGGTCCCGTAGGTATTCTCAATTGGTCAAAGCATCGATTTTGGTTAAATAGATCCAGGGGAAGCGCCAGAGGTTTCAGGGTAGTTTTCCATCTTAGCCCAAAGACTCCCATCCCAACCACTAGTGGCTGGTCTTGTGGACTTCACGCGTGTGCTCGTTTAGGGCGCGTAACCATTTTTCATTTTACGATTTTGACGGACGGTCCGTTTAAAACGAAGTGGACGGTCCACCTCTCGAGAACGGGACCGTCCGACTGACTTTTTTTGCAACTTCGGACTATCCGAAGACAGTTGTGACACTCTTTTCATAATGTACACTTTCGCGATCACTGTACAGGCGTTACGCAATTCTCTCAAGCTCGCAAATGTCGTTATCGAATCATTTTTGTTTATGGGTTGTCTCTGGTTGGTCAAGGTTGATTCGTGAAGTAGCCTTGTGCGTTTTTGTTGGTGGACGAGGTGACTCGACAGTTTTTGCGTCGCCCTCCAATCGTGTGCAAGGACTGTCGGACAGTCCGTTTGGGATTCGGACCGTCCACGGTTCAGATTTCGGACCGTTGAAGTGGGAAAAAGTGTCACTACAGTCCGTTTTGTTGGCGATGTCGCCAACACCTCAGCGAACATCAGTTACGACTGAAGTGTTTTGCTTGTACTATTGTGTAAGCTTTCACTAAAAAAAAAAAAAAAAAAAAAAAACCTCAGCGAGCATGATTACGACATTGTGCGAAGCTTGTTATCGTTTCACTACCTGGACGGTCCACGGTTCGAACCGTCGGTGCAAAATGGTTACGCGCCCTTATCCTTCCTCCCCATCCATCAGCGTGCACACTCCAGTCTCCAATTCTTCCGACGGAAGACATTGCATTGTGTTGTGTTGCTTCTTGCTAAGTTTAGAACGTCATGTAGCTTTGAGAGGGAATGCACTTCATGCTCCACTCGTTTTAAAAACGCTACCCACGGCAAATAGGTCGACATTTTGACGCAATGATAATAATCCATGGGCGTTAGTTATCGTAGCGAATGCTCGAGTGGCGACATCTGGTTCGAGAGGTCAAGCAGGCGAAATTTGCGAGACGCCAGCATCAGCGTATTTATGTTAAATATTATTCATGAAGAGCCCGACCAAATTCGGTCGGTAATATAGATTATTTCAGTATAACCGCGCTACTGCCAATAGCATTCTTTCCGCCGCAATTTCCGCGAGCCGCGCTGCGTGACAGCGCCTGGAGCCAGGCGGCGAAGCATCATGGCTAGTAACGGTGTCGCTGCTGGTGAGTCCAATGGCTAAGTATGTTTGGGCGAGTCTGCGTTGAGGCGTTCACATGCCGTCAAAGGCGGCGGCCTGTCGAGCTACGGTGGTCGTCAGCTCACTGCCGCATGATCGACGCATTTGACGCGTGTTTTTCCCCTCTCAGACCTCTCCTGCATGCCCCACTTTCGCGTGGCTGTCTAAAGTTCCCGTGCCCAGGTGGGAACGCGTCGGAAAAATTCGCAGGTGGTTCAGGTTCAACTCAAAGTTTGTTCGCCGCCCGTCGCGACATCTCGCTGCGATTCGACCTCGTTCGCACAGATGTCGCGACGCAGTGCACCACCAACATTCACTCGCAGAGGTCGCGCCCTCAGCGTTGCTTCTGGATCAACTCATATGTCTATCGCCTAATTTCCCTCGTTTTCCGCTCTCCTCTCCCCCATCCTCTCCTCCCTCCTCTTCCCCCTCTCCCCGTTTCGCTCAATCAACCTCCCTTCCCCCCATCTCCCTCCCTCCAGCCAGCCCCTCCGTTGGTCACGAGTGGCAGGCGGAAGCTGACGTGGAAGTGACAATCACGGAGGGTGACACAGCAGTGGGCGTTAAGGCAGCAGACAAGGCAGTAGAAAGGGCAGCGGACAGCGCAGCAGCGCAGGATGGCAAGACGCAACAAAGGGAGAAAATGCTGCAGGGATTTGCGGAAAAAGACTCAAGCCGGTCGTCCTGGCGTGGATGTGCTGATGTGGCGGGTGGGCGCGGGGGAGTGGGGCGGATGGCGCGGGGGGAGCGGCAGCGCGTGGTGGAGGCGGCGCTGGAGACGACTGAGCAGGACAACGAGGCTGTGATGGGGAAGATCCGCGCCCGCCTGGAGAGGTGCGTGAGTCGGATGGGGCAAGGTGAACGGAGAATGTATGGAGTTCTGTGCACGTGACAAGGGTGGTGGAGGCGGCACTGGAGACGACTGAGCAGGACAACGACGCGGTGACGGGGAAGATGTGGGCCCGCCTGGAGAGGTGCGTGGGGGAGGAACAGGGGCGTGGGGTTGGGGAGGGTCGCATGACAGGGAGGCACAGGCGCTGGGGCTGAGTGAGCAGGGCAAGGAGGCGGTGATGGGGAAGGTTCGCGTGCAGCTGGAGATGTGAGTGGGATGGGGCAAGGCGGTCAGGTAGTGCGTGCGTTTTGGGAGGGTGCACTTGACAGGGGTGGATTTTGAGGCGCCTGAAATCGGGAAGGTGCACCTGACAGCGGGGAAGGAGGCAGATGCGCTGGGGACGACTGAGAAGGACAGCGAGGCAGTGATGAGGAAGATTCGCGCCCGCCTGGAATGGTGTGTGGGGTAGGAGGTGCACGGGGGACTGTGTGTGTGTTGGGGAAACAAAGGAGCAGGTGCATGGGATGGTGCAGTGCAGGGAACGGAAAGGCGCATGAGATGGGGCAAGGCAGTCAGTGCACGGAATGCAACCAACACTTCCCCTGTTCCATGAAGCTTATAGAGCAGTCTTTTCCTGCATGACTTGTCGTATAGCCGTGTGCATGCTTTGCTGCATGTATGCCCGGCTGCACATACACATGCCATACATGCACACATACACATGCGTGCATGCCCACATACACTGCGTGCGTACACATACACATACACATGCACATGCACATGCATGTATGCACTCATGACAGGGTGGGTCTGGAGCCACCAACAGTGGAGATTAGATTTGAAGACGTGAGCGCGGAAGCAAGGGTGTATGTGGGGAAGAGAGGCCTCCCCACCCTCCCTAACTTCACACTCAATATGATTACAGTAAGTCACGCAATAAGATGACAGCCTCTTGAAATACGTCTCAGCCCTCCTCATTTCCTGTCAATTTGGGATCTTTGATAAGTTTCGCCAAGCAACCTTCTTTTCCTTCTTGTTTCATCAGCATAGACCCTTGGCTCGCACCCCTCGTTCAGTGCCACTGCTCTGACCACCCGCGGTGTGGATACGCTCCCTCTTTCTCCCTCTCGCTCCTTCCCCAACCAACCCGCCTTCTTCCCATGCGCTCCCACCTCCCAGTCAATGCTGCGCAGCATGCGTCTGCTGCCAGACAAGAGGCGTCGTTTCCCCATCCTCCACGGCTGCAGTGGTGTGCTCAAGCCGGGCAGGTGAGGGTTTAATTCGGGGAGGTGGGGTTTAGTTTGGGGAGGTGGGGGTTTTTGTTTGGGCAGGTGGGGGTAAAGCCAGGCAGGTGGGGTTTTAAGCTGGGAAGGTAGGGGTTTGAGCCGGCCAGGTGAGGGTTTAAGCCGAGCAGGTGGGGGTTTGTGGGGGCAGGGGGGGGTTAAGCTGGACAGGTGTGAGGGTTTAAGCCAGACAGATGAGGCAGGAAGGTGGGGGTTTAAGCCACGGGTTTTAGTAAGACAGGTGAGGATTCAATACAGGCAGGTGCGAGTCTCAAGCCAGGCAGTAGGTGAGGTGCATTTGATATCCTTTTGCTTTCAGATCTTGTCCTAAGGTGCCCCTCTAAACCTCTCATTTCATCCCCACTTCCGACTTTCCCTCCACCCAGTCCGCTGCACACATGCATTGTTGTGCTCATCTTGCTCCTTCCACTTCCACAATTTTCTGAGTAGAATGTTTTTTTTTTTTTTTTTTTTTTTTTCATTATTATTCTAAGAAAGCATTCTGACCTCCCCTGCTCCTGGCTCCACTCCCTCCTCCCGCTTCTACCAGCCTGCCTCCCCCAGCCGCTCCTATCCCCCACCCACCCACCCACCCCCACCCCCCCCCCCCTCTTCCCCCTTCCCTTTTCACAGAATGACGTTTTTCTTGGGCTCTCCTGGCGCTGGGAACACCACATGGATTTTCAGAGATTGCAAAAAGCATTTTCACTCTACTACTCCTGGCTCTTGGCTGCCCCCCCCCCAACCTCCCCCTTTCCCCCTTGCTCTCCCCCCTCTCCTTTTCACAGAATGACGCTTCTCCTGGGCTCTCCTGGCGCGGGGAAGACCACCCTCATGACCGCCCTAGCAGGCCACCTGGATAGACACCTGAAGGTATGGCGGCCATCTGGACAGACACCTGAAGGTACGGTGGGCACCTGGACAGACACCTGAAAGGTATGGGGGCCACCTGGACAGACACATGGAGGTATGGTGGGCACCTGGACAGACATCTCAAGGTATGGCGGTTACCTGGACAGGAACCTGACCGACTGAATGCGTGCCTGCTTGCTAACACCCCACCCGTGTGGTCTTCAGTTGACTGCGAGGCCTGACCTTGGCATGACAGACACAGTGTTTGAAAGAAATCCAAACCCGTCTGCCCTCCAAGGACCTCGTTTAAGCATGCTATTGCAAGGCACTGCCACGTGCGTGTGCTGCTCTGCTCATTGCGCTCCCTCTTGCCTTTTCCCTCTTGCCCCCTGCTTTTCCCTCTCTACAGCTCACTGGCTCCATCACGTACAACGGGCAGCAGCTGAAAGATTTCAACCCTGCCCGGACGGCATCCTATGTGCCGGAGTGTGACGAGCACATAGGCGAGATGACCGTGAGGGAGACAATGGACTTTTCCGCGCAGCTGCAAGGGAGGGGACCCTTCCGAGGTGAGATGAGATGACAGCTGTGCTGTGCCCCTTGGGCCAACTCAGAGTCAGAAGTCACTATGGTGTTGGGGATGCCCCCACATAGGCGAGATGACCGTGAGGGAGACAATGGATTTTTCCACAGCTGCAAGGGAGGGGGCTGGTGTTGGGGATGCCCCAATTTGAGATGGAGATCTCATGCTCAGGGGGGGGGTGGGCCGGCGGGTTTCGGAAAAAGCAGGATGAGGGTTTTGCGGGGACGAGGGCAATTGGGGGGTGAGGGCATCTGGGGATGGTGGCAATCAGGGGGTGATGACAAGAAGACCGCGTGGTTGATGTGATGTGTTATGAATCACACATGCTGCCCAGAACGATTTTACTGCGATGTTGAGAGTAGTTGAATTATTTGTGCTCTAATAGATGGAATATTTAGGGTATTTGAGCTAAGCAAATTTCCTCAATGTGCTGGTTTGTGCAGCCATTCTAATTGTCTCTCGACTCTCATTCAGTCGTGTCTGTGCGTGCTCGTGTGAGTGAGTGTGTGTGTGTGTGTGTGTGTGTGTGTGTGTGTGCGTGTGTGAGTGTGTGTGTGGGGGAGGGGGGTGGGTGCATGTGTGTGTGTGCGCGCGCGCGAAAGCTTGCGCGTACGCGTATGTGTGTGTGAGTGTGTGTGTGTGTGTGTGCGCGCGCGCGCGTGTGTGTGCGTGTGTGCATGCGCGAAAGCGTGCGTGCACGCGTATGTGTGTGTATGTGTGTATGTGTGTGTGTGTGTGTGTGTGTGCGTGCACACATATGTGTGTGTGTGAGTGCAGTGCTGGTGGAGGAGTTGGAGAAGAGGGAGAAGGAGATGGGAGTGGAGCCGGATGCAACAACAACACTGCTCATGAAGGTCAGTCAATGCTGGTCAATGGTGGGTCAACGCTGGTCTAAGGGTGAGCCAACGCAGGTCAATGGTAAGTCATCGCAGGTCAATGGTGAGTCAACGCTGGTTAAGGGTGAGTCAGGTTGGTCTAAGGCGAGTCATCGGCTGGTCAAGAGCGCGACAGTGTTGGTCGAAGCGAGTCAAATCTGATGAAGGTAAGTCAATGTTGAGTCAATGCCGACCCCTCTACCATTGATTGCCTCTTTTTTCTCCCCTCTCCTCTCCCCCTCCCCCCTCTCCCGTCTCCTCGCCCCTCTCTCATCTCTTCTCTCTCCTCGCGCATCACATCACCGCCAGGCCATGGCAGTGGAGGCCAATCCGTCCAATATGGTCACCAACTACGTGCTCCAGGTGTGCTATCAGCCTATCACTCTCACACACGGGTGTGACTCTAGCAGGTGTGACTTAAGCAGGTGTGACTTAGCAGGTGAGACTTAGCAGGTGTGAACAGCTGTGACCAAACAGGTGTGTCTCAAGCAGTTGTGACTTACGCCCACCTTGTAAAGACGTGTTGCGAGGGTGACTGTTCAGGTTCCTACATGAAACTATATCCACCACCACCAGACATGCCTGTGTTTGTGTAACATTGTTCTTCAAGCAACACATGCTTGTGAATCACTCTGCATTTTCAAACATTTCCAAGCAATTCCTTCCTGTTCTCTCATTTCCCTTCATGTATTCCCATTTCCTCTGGTCACTGGAACAAACCTAACCTGCCTGGTCGGCAGCTCCTGGGGCGACACGGTGGGGGACAACGCTCTCGTGAGCGGCAGTTGAGGCTCCTCAAAAGCCCTTGTTTCCGTGCCCCTCTCCCGTGCCCCTCTCCCATGCCCCCCAGCAAATCTAACATGTCTGCTCGGCAGCTGCAGGGGCTGCATTTGAGCGCCTCAAAAGTTGGGCATCTGTGCGGACAGATGGTGAGCAACGCCCCCGTGCATCGCTTTTGAGGCACTTCAAAAGCCCCCTCGATCCGTGCCCCCCTGTTCCCATGCCCCCTGTCCCCATGCCCCCTGTCCCCATGCCCCCTGCCCCCATGCCCCTGCCTATCCCAATGTCCCCGAACTTGCTCCGCAGCTGTTGGGGCTGGGCATCTGTGCGGACACGGTGGTGGGCAACGCTCTCGTGCGCGGCATCTCGGGCGGCCAGAAGAAACGCCTCACCACAGGTGGGTCGATATGGGTCACATTTGCATCACCACAGGTGGGTGGGAGGCAGAAAAAGCGATGCCACAGGTGTTTGGGGGCCAGTAGAAGTGGCTCGCCAGAGTTGTGTGGGGAGCACAAGTACTGCTGATAGGCATGCAGCATGCAGCCGGTGGCGCTGATGAGTGCGACAAGCACGATCAGCATACAGCCTTTTTCCCTTCCCATTGCTGATCTACTTTCTCACTCAAACCCCTCACCCCTCTCCCCAATCCTTCTCTCCCTCACTGACTCTATCTGTCAGGGAAGGAAGGAGATGGTGTGCAGGTGCGCCTACTGGACGAGATCAGCACGGGACTCAACTTCTCCACCACCTTCCTATCTCCTTCCACTCATCCTTCTTATCTCCCTCCCAAAACTCGAATCCTATAATACAACCCCTAAACCCTATCAGGCAAGGAACTAGTGGGTATGTGGCAGGTTCTCCCACTGGACGAGATCAGCACAGGCCTCGATGCCTCCACCACCTTCCACCTTCCGCATCTCCCTCCCACTCATCCCTCTTTCTCCCTGCCTTAACTCTAAACCCTGAATTCAAAACGCCAAACCTTGTCAGGCGAGGGTTTAGTGAGCATGCGGCAGGTGCTTCTGATGGACGAGATCAGCACGGGCCTTGACCCCTCCACCACCTTCCGCATAGCTATTTCCCTCCCTAAACCCCAGATCCGAAACCCAAACCTTCCCAGGCGAGGAGCTGGTGAGTATGCGGCAAGTGCTCCAGATTGCGAGATAAGCAGTGGAACCCGAGATAACCTTCTCGACACTCCTCCACTACCTTCCCCTTCTCCCCAACCTCTCATCCCTATCTCCCTCTCCAATCTCAAAACCTTGAACCCTGTCAGGAGAGGAGCTGGTGGGCATGCGGCAAGTGCTGCTGATGGACGAGATCAGCACGGGTCTTGACTCCTCCACCACCTTCCTCATTGCCCGCTGCCTGCGCCATCTCACCCACTCACTCTGCACCACCACGCTCATCGCGCTGCTGCAGCCCGCCCCCGAGACCTTTGCACTCTTTGACGACGTGCTGCTGCTGGCGGAGGGGCACGTGGTGTACCACGGGCCCCGGGAGGGCGTCATGGGGCTGTTCCGCTCCCTGGGGTTTGATTGCCCTCCTAGGAAAGGAATCGCAGATTTCCTGCTGGAGGTGAGAGAGGGGTACTGGGGTCGGTGGGGGAGGGGGGCGGGGGTTTGGATGAGGCTTGATGTGCTGCTTTCCATGGCTTGTGGCGCATCATGGGCCCAGGGAGGGCGTTATGGGGCTGTTCTAGTTGCTGGGGTTTGACTGCCCTCTAAGAAAAGGAGTGGCAAAATTTCTACTGGAGGTAAGTGGGGTTGGGTTAGGGGAGTCTGGATGGTGTGGTTGAGGATTGTGTTTTTGTGGATAGCACGAGTGGCGAGGAGAGGAGGCCGTAGCAGTGTCCCAGCGGAGGGGTCAAAGTTGCACGCATTGCCTTCCCCATCTCTTCTCCTCTCTTGCTCCCTGTTCTCTCTGTTCTCTCAGGTGACGTCAGCCAAGGACCAGGCACAGTATTGGGTGGATAAGTCGCAGCCTCACGAGTTCATGGCAGCGGGGGACATGGCTGCTGCCTTCCGCCACTCCGCACTCGGCAAGCAGCGACAGGATGAGTTGGCAGTGAGTCTTAGAAACGCCAGATTCTGTGTATTTCCAACAGTCAGTGCAGCAGAGACATGCAGAGCTGGTGTTAGGGTGTGCGGTGCGGTATCGTATCGCCCATTTAAACATCACCATTTATTGGTGCCCCGTGTCTTCTTCCCGTTCCAGACTTCTAGCTTCCTTTCCATTATTCACACTAATCCTTCCCGCTTCCTTTTTCCACTGTTCTTCCATTCTTCTCCCTTTCTTACCTCTTCTTCCTTGTTCTCTCCAGACCCCCTTCCAGCCAACAGAGTCGTCCATGTCAGCACTGGAAACGGCCCCCTATGCTCTCTCGCCCACTCAGATGCTGACAGCTGTCTTTGCCCGGGAATGGCTACTGATGCGGCGCAACGCGCTGCTCTACATGGCCCTCATCATGCAGGTGTGTGTGGCACGATGTATGCATGCCGTGTGGATGTATGGATGCCGTGTGGATGTATGACACATGTAGCATGCGCGCAGCTGTCACATCACATACATGGATTGCGTCATGCACGTGTGTACGGGGAAGGATCACTTCTTTCACCACCACCCAGCCCTCCTCTCCCTCCTCAATTATCAACTGCCTTTCTACTTTGACAGCTGCACCCCTTTCCATCCTTCCACCCCTCTCCACCCCTTTTTACCCCTCTCCACCCCTCTCCTCCCCTCTCCACCCTTCTTCACCGCTCTCCATCAGGTGATATTCACGAGCCTGATGTCGTCGACAGTGTTCCTGTACACGCAGAGGGCCATAACAGCCAAGGACGGCAACATCTACCTGGGAGTGCTCTTCCTGGGCATCACCATGATGCTCTTCAACGCCTTCTTTGAGCTCCTCCTCTTCACGCTCCGCCTTCCAATATTCTTCAAGCAGAGGAACACGCGTCTGTACCCCGCGTGGGCCTGGGTGCTGCCCATGGCTGTGCTGTCGCTGCCGCTGTCGGCCGTGGTGGCGGCGCTGTGGACGGCTGGCACGTACTTTCTTGTTGGGTTTGCTCCGGAAGCTGGCAGGTGCGGATGGGTGGATGGGTGCGGATGGGTGGATGGGGTTGAAAGCGGGAGGGAGTCATAAGAGAGTCGAAGGAGTATCCTTCAATCGACTTAAAAGCCACTCTTCCTTCCAATCCCCTTTCCCCACCCAAACCCCTCCCCACCACCTCAGGTTCTTCATCAGCTCCTCATACTCTTCCTCATCCACTACGCCGCCCGGAGTGGCTCTCTTCCGCCTCCTCTTTGCGCCAACTAAAAAGCCATACCTCCTTCCATCCGCCCTGGTTTTCTTTTCCCACCCCCAGGTTCTTCATTCAGCTGCTCATATTCTTCCTCATCCACCAGACGGGAGTGGCTCTCTTTCGCCTGCTGGGGGCGGTGGGTCGCAACCTCGTGGTCTCCATCACCCTCGGCAACTTTGCCTTCATTATCCTCTTCCTCCTCGGCGGCTTCATTGTCTCCAAAGGTGCCCCATGCCGTGTTGCTTCTTGCTGCTTCTACTGCCTCTTGCTAAAGCTTCATCTCATCTCTTGAATCATCTGCTCATGTCTCTTGGATTGATCACCCTTCAGTCACCACCATGCCCTTTTGTTTGGGAATCGTTTTTGAGAGTTCTCAAAGTTGGTTCTCAAAAGTGAATCGCTCTTGAGAAAGTATTCTGACCATTTTGCTCAAAAGTAGTCTCTTCCTACCCATCGCCTGGATGAGTTACCCATCAGTCACTCACTTGCACTCATCTGGGCCTACTGGATGTAGCCATCACCTACATGCAAGCATCAATTGACTCACCCCCTCTCGTCCATCACTCCTGCCGTGCCCCGTTGTCTACCCTCTTCTAATTCCCACCCACCCACGCCCCCCTCTCCAGCCATGGTTCATCTGGGCCTACTGGATGTGCATCAATTGACACACATGCATCAATTGACACACATGCATCAATTGACACACATGCATCAACTGACACACATGCATCAATTGACACACATGCATCAACTGACACACATGCATCAATTGACACGCATGCATCAATTGACACACATGCATCAATTGACACACATGCATCAATTGACACACATTCATCAACTGACACACATGCATCAATTGACACACATGCATCAATTGACTCACCCCCTCCCTTCCCATCTCTCCCCCCCGTCACCCCCCCCCCTCAACAGACGACATCCAGCCGTGGTTCATCTGGGCCTACTGGATGTCGCCCATCACCTACACGCAGAACGCCCTCTCAGTCAACGAGCTCCTCGCACCCAGGTGGCAGAAGGTGAGGGGCGTGCCAGGTGGCAGAATGGGAGGGGCGTGCCAGGTGGCAGAAGGGGAGGGGCGTGCCAGGTGGCAGAAGGTGAGGGGCGTGCCAGGTGGCAGAAGGGGAGGGGCGTGCCAGGTGGCAGAAGGTGAGTGGTGTGCCAGGCGGAGGGGAAGTGAGGGGGCTCCCAACGGGGTGTGGATCGGTGTGGTGGCTCTAATTGGCTGCTCTCTTTCCCCTCCCCCTTCCTCTCCCCCCTCCCCCTGTCCCTTTCCCCTTCCCCCTTCCCCCTTCCCCTCCCCCTCTCCCCACAGTCCACAGCACCACTAATTCCCAACTCCACGGTGGGCCTGGTGGTGTTGGAGGGGAGGGGCCTCCCCACGGAGAGCAAGTGGGTGTTGATCGGCGTGCTGGCGCTCATCGGCTTCACTCTCCTCCTCAACGCCCTCGTTGTCGTTGCCCTCTCCGTCCTCCACCGTCAGTGCTGCTGCATACATGCCCTATTGCTGCTCTTGCTTGTCGCCCCAATGCGCGCTCCATACTCCACTCTCAGTGCTGCTGCTGCATGCCCCACTGCTGCTTTTTATTGTTGCCCCATGCCCCTCCACCCTCCACTGCTTTGTTTCTTAAAATCCTCACTGGATTCTCCTCCTTCAAAACCTGCTCCACCTTGTCAAAGTTTGATACTGACTCTTTTGAAAACCTTCCCCCTTTTCCTCTCCGTTCCCTCTCTTCACTTCAGAACTCCCTGTTCCCTCCCCACAACCCATGTTCACTGCTCTTCCTTCTCCACCCAGCCCACCAACTCCCACATAACTCCTACCCCTCTCATCAACCCCATACATACCATGCCACGTCATCATCCCACATCAGCATGGGCCAAGGACCAGCCAGTAACAGAAGAACAGCTGGACGCCAGAATAGAGGCAGCAGTGGGTCTCACAGCTGCCACAGCCACCAGCAGGCGCCTCTCGAAGCACTACAGCACTGGCAGCCGGCGCAATTCAGAGAGTCATGGCAGGGGGGGGGGCATGGATGGGGATGCGATGCCGATCAGCATCAGCATCAGCATCACGCGCAGCCAGTCGGGGCAAAGCGCCCGCTCTGTTGGGTCGCGCAGTGGTGGCGCCCTCGAACGGTACTGTGAGCGAGGTGAGAGAGAGTTGAGAGTGGTGCAGTGAGGTGAGAGAGGGGTGAGAGCAGTGCAGCGAGGTGAGAGTGGAGAGAGGAGAGATAGATGAGAGAGAGTTGAGAGCGGTACTGCGAGTGAGGTGGGAGCTGTGAGAGAGGTGAGAGCGGTGAGAGAGAGTTGAGAGCGGTGAGAGGGAGTTGAGAGCGGTGAGAAGAGAGGTGAGAGTGATAAGAGAGAGGGCAGATTGGTACTGTGTGTGAGCAAGGTGAGAGCGGGCTGAGAGAGAGAGGCAATATAAAGAGGAGATAAAGGTGAGTTATTGGTGAGAGAAGATTACAACAAAGGAGGGATGGTGTGAGGGCGGTTAAAAACTGGAAAGACTTTTGAGGCGCAGCAAAAGGTGCATCAAAATTCTTTCCTTTACCAGCTCAGTGTGTATAGGTCAATATGACACCAAGCGAGCACCTTCCAGTTCTACCATTCCCTCACCACCGCTCTGCACCAATCCTTACCAATCCTCATCACACCCGTGTAGCCATCCACCCCCGCATCTCTCTGTTACTGGCTGGTCCTTAGTTCACTTGATGGTTCGCACTGTAGTAGAGGTGAGAGAGAAGTCAGTGAGAGACTCTGTAGAAACGTGAGCGGAAGATGAAAGAGAGCTGCGACAGTGTGAGGAGGAAGTTTGAACTAGGAGTACCTGGTCTGGATGGTTGAGAGGTTGGACAGAATGATCAGAACGACAGGGATAACCTTTCTCCCTCTTTGCCCTCCATGTCTCTCCTTTCTCCCTCTCCCCCACCTCGTCTGCACTGCAGTCTCATCGTCTCACTCCATGGGACACACAATCGAGCCCTCCCTGTCCCAGGACCTCTCTGTGCCGCCCACCACCACTCGCGGCATGGTGCTCCCCTTCCTCCCCCTCCCCGTCGCCTTCCACAACGTGTGCTACTGGGTCGACATGCCGCCCGCCATGCGCTCCCATGCTGCCCACGCCGCCGGCAACTCTGCCACCCGCCTGCAGCTGCTGAGAAACGTCTCGGGGGCGTTCCGGCCGAAAGTGCTCACCGCGCTGGTGGGGGTGACAGGCGCGGGGAAAACAACCCTTATGGATGTGCTAGCAGGGAGGAAGACCGGGGGGTATATAGAGGGAGATGTGATGGTGGCTGGGCACCCGAAGGTCCATGAGACGTTTGCACGCGTGTCGGGGTACTGTGAGCAGAGCGACATTCACTCGCCGCAGGTCACGGTGTATGAGAGCCTGCTGTTCTCCGCGTGGCTGCGACTTCCCAGGGACATCGACAGAGACGTGCGGGAGGTGCGTGGGGAGGGAGTGTGGGTGTGGGAATTGGGTGGGAATGGCAAATGGCTGAAGAGACAGATGAGAGGGGGATGAGGGAAGGATGAGTTAAGGATGAAAACGTGGAGAGGTGAATGAGAGAGTGAGGAGAGGAATGAGAGAGAAATGCAGAGAGGAGGAGATGGAGATGGTGGGGATGGGTGGGTATGCTCAGGGACGCGTTGGTGGATCGTTTAGACAATCGTGAATTGTCCCCCTCCCTCACGTCCTCACCCTAGTGTCTAAGCTCGTAGTTAGAACGGCAGCAGTATTAGAAAGAAACGCTTTAGCAGCAGGAACAACAGTGAATACAATGTGAGAAAAATGGTAGATCTGGAAAAACGCCTTGTCTCGAAAAGAGCCTCCTTGCGTAAACTAGTTTCGGCGGACGGGAAACGATCACATCACACCCCAGTCGCACTTCGTCCCCCTCCCTCACCTCCTCACCCTCTCAACCCCCAATCCCCCTTAACCCCTCTCAAGGCGTATGGTTTCCATTGAGCAGACCTGTGTCTCCTTGCCCTTACCTCTCATTTGCTCCGTGTTGTCCCCCTGTAACCCCCAAATCGCACCACACCACACCACACCACACCACACGGCACTGCACCAGGAGTTTGTGGAGGAGGTGATGGAGCTGGTGGAGCTGGACGTGCTTAGGGGCGCGCTGGTGGGGCTGCCTGGGGTGAACGGGCTCAGCACGGAGCAGAGGAAGCGCCTCACCATCGGAGTCGAGCTCGTGGCCAACCCCTCCATCATCTTCATGGATGAACCCACCTCAGGTACCACCTGCTGCTGGATGACCACCTCAGGTACCACCTGCTGCTGGATGACCACCTCAGGTACTGCCTGCCTGGTGTTGGACGTCTGGATGAAGCCTCCTCAGGTGCTGCTGGGAGCTCGTGGCCAACCCCTTTATCATTCGCCTGGATGAACCCACCTCAGGTACCGCCTGGATGAGCCCACCTCAGGTGGTGCCTGGATGAACCCACCTCAGGTGATGCCTGGATGAGCCCACCTCAGGTGATGCCTCCTGCTGGACGAATCCGCTCCTCAGGTATCACCTGCTGCTGAATGCGTGGATGAAGCTTCCCCAGGTGCTGCTGGGAGCTTGTGGCCATCCCTCCGTCATCTTCATGGATGGACCCGCCTCAGGTAAGGCCTGGATGAACCCACGTAAGGCCTGGATGAACCCACCTCAGGTAAGGCCTGGATGAACCCACCTCAGGTAAGGCCTTGATGAACCCACCTCAGGTAAGGCCTGGATGAACTCTTCGTTGCCCATCCCTGTTCAGCAGCATTCATGATGGATGCAGAGCGGCGCAGAACAGTGTAGAGGCGCGTGGAGCCCTCTAGCTGCCCACACTTCGTCTCCACCTCTCCTCCTGGCCCATCCGCCTCATCTCAGGTCTGAATGCAAGGGCAGCGGCCATGGGATGTGGCGGTTGTTGCAGCGCCTTCAGGATTCCTGTCCCTACCTTCTTTTTCCCCTCACTCTACTCCCGCCCTCTTCCCCCTACTGGCCTCCTTCCGCTGCTACTCCCCTCCTCTCCCTCCTACTGCCCTTCTCCCCATCCCACATCTCTTCCTCTTTTTCCCTCCCCCCCTTCTTCAGGTATGCATGCGAGGCAGCAGTCATAGTGATGTGCAACGCAGTGGAGGCGCATCAGCCGCAAAAGCTCCCACTCCTCCCCTCCTCCCACCCACCCATACGTCAGGTTTGGATGTGAGGTCGGCAGTCATAGTGATGGAAGGGAAACGGTCTCGAAGTGCGACAGTCTCAAAAGCCTCAATTACTCTCCAGCCCCCCTCCCCCCATTTGATCTCCACCTTTCCCCCTCTTCAAGTCTGGATGTGAGGGGAGCAGCCATAGTGATGCACACAGTGTTACGCACCGCACGTCCCACTCCTCCCCTCCCTTCTCACTCCTCCCCTCCCCGCGCCTTTCCTCCTCCTGCCCACCAGGTCTGGATGCGAGGGCAGCAGCACAGTGCGCAACACGGTGGACACCACCTCAAGACCTCCCATTCCTCTCTGCCTTCCCGCCGTGACGCCGTCAGGTCTGGATGCGAGGGCAGCAGCCATTGTGATGCGAACGGTGCGCAATACGGTGGATACGGGGCGCACTGTAGTGTGCACCATTCACCAGCCCTCCACCGACATCTTTGAAGCCTTTGACGAGGTGCGCTGTAATGAGTATAAGAAACGAGGTCCCTTGAGTCAAAATGGGCTGTAGTGTGCACCTTTCACCAGCTGTCCGCGGACGTCTTTGAGGCCTTTGACGAGGTGCGCTACAACAAGTATGATGATGGAAGGCCCTTCACTTGAATGATGGAAGGCCCTTCACTTGAATGAGACTGTCGAGTGCACTATTCACCAGCTGTCCATGACATGTTTGAGACCTTATGAAATGCGCTCTTTATACTGAGTATGAACGTGTTGGGCTGTGCAGTCAGTTGGACAGGTTTTCAGTGGGCATGCACGCACGCACCACTCACCACACACCATAGCAATGCGCACCATTCTAGGAGGCATGTTCAGAATTCTTAGAAACTCTCTTTCATCTGTGCCCATCTGGCCTGCATTCCAGGGTGGATGCTGGTGGCACGTGTTATTTTCTCATCGCAGTTCACACACTGATATGCATCTCTGTTCCTGTACTGCAGCTGCTCTTAATGAAGACAGGAGGAGAGGTTATCTACATGGGGCCTTTGGGAGTCAACTCGAAGCATCTCATCAAATATCTTCAGGTATCGCCATTTCCCACCCCTCTGCCCCTTCTTCTCCCGTTGATTCCTTACTTCTCCCTTTCATGTGCTCTTTGCGTCATTGGTTCTACTGTGGGTTAGGTCTTAGACATAACATGGACCCCAACTCACCAAAAATCTCCAACCCACCATTTGTATATTTCCCCCAATTCCCTTGTCATCCTTTGAACTCATCCTTGACATGCTTAAGAGATCCTTGAGCTTCCTGGAATCTGTTTCTTCCGTCATCCTTTTCCTCCCTCGCCCTCATCCTTTTCTTCCCTCGCCCTCCCTTCCCTGCCCATTACGTCTTACTCCCTGTCTTCCCCATGCGTCCTGCTTTAGGGTACCTGGAGCAAGCAAGGAAAATTAGATCATCTCTACTTCCTTTCCCCCTCGCAACCCTCCATGCCAGGAGATACCCAGCCCCTCCTTAGGCCCTCTCTCCCCACCGCGCCAAGCCATACCCAGCCGGCATACAGCCCTGATGGTTGCATTGCAACCCCGCCACATGGATTCTGGAGGTCGCTTCACCTCTCTCCACCCTCCCTCCCTCGACCCATCACCATGCCAAGCGACACACGGGCTGTGCCCTATCTCTGACGTTCACAGCCATTCTAACGCTCCTTTCCCTCCTCCCCACAACCGGCCACCACGCCAGGCCATACCCGGCGTGCAGCCCATCCCTGACGGCTACAACCCCGCCACGTGGGTGCTCGAGGTCACTGCAACAGGCACAACCGTTATGCCCCTCTCCCACCTTCCCCAACCCACCACGCCAGGCCGTACCCGGCGTGCAGCCCATCCCTGATGGTTACAACCCCGCCACGTGGATGCTTGAGGTCACGGCGCCCGCTGCTGCTGAGAGCATTGGGGCTGACTTTGCAGAGATCTTCAGGAATTCGCAGCTGTTCAGGTGAATATTCAGGGATTTACAGCTGTTCAGGTGATTATTCAGGAGCATGCGACTGTCCAGGTGAGTATGCTTCAAAGGCACAGCAGTTTGGGTGACAGACTAGGCATTCACAGCTGTTGAGGCTTCCGTAATCACTTCTTATCTTCTCCCCCATACTCTTCTCCCCACCCCCAAACCCTCCCCTCTCCACCCCCCCTGCAGGGACAACGAGGCGCTGGTATCGTCGCTCTCCACGCCCCCGCCCGGCTGGGCGCCGCTGCACTTCCACTTTTCCCTACACCCCCCCCCGTCCCCCCTCTCACTAAAAGCCATCTCCCCCCCCTCCTTTCCAGGAACAACGAGGCATTGATTGCGTCGCTCTCCACGCCCCCGCCCGGCTCGGCGCCGCTGCACTTCCCCACGCGCTACTCCACCTCCCTCCTCACTCACTTCTTTGCCAACCTCTGAAAGCATTCCCTCGTGTACTAGCGCGCTCTGTACTTCAGGTGGCCTTTGAGCTGACTCAAAAGCTCCTCATGTACTGGCGTGCGCCCGAATTCAACGCAGTGCAGCGCACTCGATCCATCCCCCCGCCTCATCCAGCCTCCGATCTCCTTCCTCCTCTTCCCCCCGCCCCTCCCCCCACCAACCCACCTGCAGGGACAACGAGGCACTGATAGCCTCTCTTTCCGCCCCGCCTCCCAACACAGCGCCTCTCCACTTCCCCACGCGCTACTCCACCTCCTTCCTCACGCAATTCCTTGCCAACTTCTGGAAGCGTGCTCTCATGTACTGGCGAGCCCCCGACTTCAACGCCGTCCGCTTCTTCCTCGCTGTCTGCATCTCCCTCCTCATGGGAGCCGTCATGTTCGGGTTCGGCCACTACCACTCTACGCAGCAGGAGGTGCTGAACGTGATGGGCGCGCTTTATGTCACGTCGCTGCTCATGGGGTGGAATGCTGCAACATCCCTCCAGCCCATGCTGTGTACCGAACGCACAGTGTTTTACAGGGAGCGAGCCGCTGGGTTGTACGGGTCGCTTCCGTACGCGCTAGCGCAGGGGGCGATCGAGACGCCATATGTGGTGGTGGAGACGTTGCTGTTCTGCGTGATCACCTACGCGCTGCTCGAGCTGGAGTGGACGGCCGGCAAGTTTTGGTTGTACTGCGCGTTCATCTGCCTGACGCTGCTGTGCTTTGCGAGCTTCGGCATGATGGCGGTGGCCATCACGCCCAATGAGCTGCTAGCTGTAGTGCTCAGCGGGTTCTTTGTGATGCTCTGGAACCTCATGTGCGGCTTCCTCATCCCCAAGCCGGTGAGTTGGCCATTCAACTGTTGCTCTGGCTTGATATAGATTCGACTAGAAGGTCTCTTTGTGATGCTCTGGGACCTCACGTGCGGCTTCCTCATTCCCATTGGCCGTTCAACTGATGAGGCACCTTAACAATAGAATGCTGATGTGGCTTGAAGATCTAGTTGCAATCATGTGTGCATTCTGTGTAAGCACCAGTAGCATTTAACACATGTGTTTCAATCTATTATTCATGTGACTTGCTGCGTCTCTGTATTTATGGACTTGTGTGCTTGCTTGTTGCAATGCGTGTGTGTGCGAGCCTGTGACATTGGTTGCTTCCAGGAAATTCCCGTGTGGTGGAGCTGGTTTTATTACATCAACCCAATCGCCTGGTCACTCTACGGCCTCATCACCTCCCAGGTCCGTTTCACCACCTTTGAGGTTCGTGTGATCTCCTCTCAGGTCCGTGTCATCTCCTCTTGAGTCCGATTCATCTCCTCTCAGGTCCATTTCATCTCCTTCAAGGTGCGTTTCATCTCCTCTCAGGTCCGTGTCATCACCTCTCAGGTCCGTGTCATCACCTCTCAGGTCCGTGTCATATCCTCACAGGCCCGTTTCAACTCCTCCCAGGTCCGTTTCATCTTCTCCCAGGTTCATCTTATCTCCTCCCAGGTCCGTGTCATTCTCAGGTTTGTGTTTTCTCCTGTCAGCTGTGTCATCTCCTGTCAGGTCCGTATCATCTCCTGTCAGGTCCGTATCTTCTCCTGTCAGGTCCGTATCATCTCCTGTCAGGTCCATATCATCTCCTGTCAGGTCCGTAACATCTCCTGTCAGGTCCGTATCATCTCCTGTCAGGTCCGTGTCATCTCCTGTCAGGTCCGTGTCATCTCCTGTCAGGTCCGTGTCATCTCCTCTCAGGTCTGTGTTGTCTTAACCTCCTAGGCGCATGCGCCCTCTATCTAAACCCATCTCCATGCGCCCCATTCTCCAGCTGGGGAGTGTTCAGGACCACCTCACAGCGCCAGGCTATCCAGTGAGGATCACAGTGGAGCAGTTTCTGGACCTGTGCGTGGGTTACCAGCAATATTGACCTTCAATAACCCTCCCTCCCACACCTTTTTCCCCATTGCTTCATCCTCCTGCTCCCACTTCTCCAGCTGGGAAACGTTCAGGACTTGCTCACAATACCAGGCTACCCAGTGAAGGTCACGGTGCAGCAGTTTCTAGACCTGTATCTCGGTTACCAGGAGCAGTGGGTTGGTTACGCCAGCCTCATCCTCGTTGCCTTCTCCGCGCTCTTCTTTGTCGTCTTTGCCGTCGCACTCAAAGTCATCAACTTCCAAAAACGCTAGCAAGCAACCCTCATTTTGCGGCGCAGGACACCTAGTCTGTATGCAGCAGATACCGTCATCGCCCGGATATAAGACATATATGTCTTATCTCATACACGGGTAAAAATGCTTGGGTTGATTGTATTTGGGACGGTTTAGGGTGTCTTTTAAGTCTTATAAATGGACAAAGAACCGTTTAGAAGATACCCCCTCGTTATACAATTGCCCCCTACCCCTACACTGGCTTAGCTCGTTCACACAAATAGGTGTCTTATAATGAGGCTACCTCGTTTATAAGAGACACCCGGATAAGAGACACCCGGATAATAGACATCCCCTGTCTTCTATGCAAAACTGTCTTATTTCCGGGTGATGATGGTATTGATGACTTAAAGGCCCAGTAGGGTAGGGTAGGGTTTCCATCATATCAGGAAAAATACTCTTAATCACCCTTATTACCGTCATCACCCGGATATAAGACAGTGTTGAATAGTAGACAGGGGTTGTCCATTATACAGGTGTCTCTTATAGACAGGGTAACCTCATTATAAGACCCCTATTTGTGTGTAGGGGCAAATGGCAAATGTGTAACGATGAAGTACCTTCTAAACGGATTTTTGTCCATTTATAAGACTGATTTTTTTAATGTATGAGATAAGACATACATGTCTTATATCTGGGCAATGACGGTACTGTAATTTATGTTGGGTGGACCACAGGGTACTAATTGAGTCCAAATGAATGCATGTACTATATTTTTTATTTTTTCATGATGGCTTGATAATCAACGAACTCGCAAGAATGACTGTTGTTTAACCTTTTTCAAAAATCGCCGGGACGAGGCCATTAATTAAGCAGGTCCCTGGTGTTTTTCAACCATATGGACGATCCACAGCATGTGGCCGTCTATACGGCCGTCTGCACCAGTAGGGCACAATATTACGGCATGTGATTCAACGCACATCAGCAGGTTTACACCAGGCATTTTTTCCTGCCCAGACATAAGTTGTAGGCAAGTTCTTTGAGCAAGCAAAGGGGGGAGGAAGGAGGGGACAGGAGGGGATGAGGGGAGGGGTGGGGGGGAGTAAGGGGGAGAAGGATGGGGGGAAACAGGGAGGGGGTGGGAGAGGGGATGAGTGTTGTGGGAGGGGGCAGGTGGGGTTCTTGCATTCTTGCGTTTCACTTCGACCTCCGCTCTCCCCTCTTTTCCCCATATCCAACTTGCCATTTGAAATATTCCGCAAATTCAATGGAGATTGCCCCTGACACTTCTCTCATCCTTCTCAATTCATCTTTAATGTTCTTAGAGAGCCATGAGCTTTGTTACCTAGTCGAGAGCCAACAGCCTTCCCTTCCATCCCTCGCCCTCCCGTCCCCTACCTTGCCTTCTCGCTAAATTTGATTAAAAGGTACCACGGTCCTGTAAAGTGCAAATCAAATGAACCTTTTTATTTACACCCCGTGGCTGTAGCTACCATCATTGTCAGAATGTCGATGTTTGTCTAGCCTGCAGTGTCGATGTCTGGCCGTGTAGTCCGAGGCTCTGCGCTCGGTAGCCACAGTGTGAGCACTCCTAGGAGCACAGCGAGCCAGCTGCGCCTGTCACCCTGTAGTCCGGGTTTAGCCTGGTAGCGTCAGTGCTGCGCACTCCTATTGCCCGTGTGTCTGCAGCTTCAGCTGTCGCCTCTTATCTTCTCGTCCTCCATAGTTTCTCCTCCTCCTCACTTGCCCTCTGTGATAGCCTCTAGTTTTGCTTATCCTTGTGAACTATTGCACTGCCTGCTTGTTGTGTTGATTGTACCCCACTTTGACTATGGGGGTGTGTCAGAATGTCGATGTTTGTCTAGCCTGCAGTGGGGTACTCTATAGCGAGTACAACCCAATTAGGGTTTCCTATATGTATCTCAACTGCTGCTAGTGAAAACCCCTCTTTCCTGTTTCTCGTTTTCGCCTGCCTTTCTGACAATTGTTATATACTATACACAAGACCCAGATAGCATCATTGCTGCACTTTTCGATGGTACAGCTTTGTCTTTACCACAAATCGGATTGATGTTCAATACTTCCTCACTGCCTCGTCTCCCGTGCTTGGAGGCACCTGGAGCAGCAAGAGAGTTTATGTTGCCTCCCTTCCACTTTCTCAACCCTCATTCCAATTTCCCGATCTTCATCAACCTCACTCCCAGTCCCTCTTGTCAGAATCCCAACCACTAGACCATTGGGATAAAAGGGCTTGTTTGTGTAGCAGGTCAGTGCGCCCATAACCCCCCAGGCCAATGTGCCTGTAACCCTTCCCTATGATCAATTGGGGATCACCAGTGGACCTCTGACACCTCTCGCCTCTCATATCCCAACTCCCTCCTGTGTGTTTGCACCTCACAGCCAAAACCCCCTCCTTTTTTACTTTGCACCCTACAGCCCAAATCCCCCACCATTCTCGACCCCTTTCCGTCCTAACTCCCCCAACCTCTCTCATCTATTCCATCTCCACAAACCCCACCCCTTCTCACCTTCTCCCTCCCCTCCCTCTCCCCCTCCCTAGCCACCCTGCTTCCCTGACGCCTATTGCAGCCCCCTTCCTTTTTCTCTCTTGCCTCTTGCAACCCAAATCCCCTCCTCTCTCTAGCGTCTTGCTCTGTATCTCTCTCCTCTTGCAACCCCATTGCCACCTCCCCTTATCTCTCGCTTTTTGCAACCCCATTTCCCCCTCTCTTTTTCTCTCGCCTCGTGTAACCCAACAGCGCCCCGTACCTTTCTCGCTTCTTGCAGCCAACCCTCACCTCTTCCCACCTCCTTACAACATGCCCCTGGCCTCAACTCTAATAGCACTCTTGTTTTTCACGTTTAGTGTGCCATCGGATATTGTGCTGTCAGTTGGACCCTCAGCTCAACTATTGACTGAGACTATTGCCATCAAATTTTTGTCCTGTGGTTGGCACGGAGTTGGCATCAAAGACTCTTTTGGGTTACTGCACTAGGGCAGGTACTGGACAAGTTCAGGACTCCAAAAATTGCCAAGGACTTTGTCACGAAACATATTGGTAAGTTGCAGCATATTTTGTTTATAGCTATTTGTGGTGTAGGTGGTGTACAAGTTGTTATGCAGGGTATTGGAGTGGTAGTTGAGGACCTGGGGGATCACGCAAAGTTGGTGACTCAAAAGATTGCGAAGCGCATGTTGGGAGAATTTGAGGCCTAGGGAGACAGGAAATCGGCGAGGGCCAACCAGAGCCCAGGCGACTCCAGTGCAAGCACAGCCCCCTGAATAATTCGGGATAGGGGAAGCAAGTACTAGTAGTCTAGCCTAGCAGAGCCAGACCTGTTCTCTCGTTTGTTTACCAGTGCATAGTGGATATTACGTCACCATTCTAAGCCTAGAGCAACCAGGGTGACAAGGTAACTCTTGGTAGCCATCAGTGGGAGCACGGATCTCGCACAAACGAGAGAAGAAAGCCGACGATATGGATCGCCACAAGCTGCGCTGGCAGCGGATGTATTCACGGCTAGAACATTCTCCGTCGTGAGGCAGGCGCTCAAGGGAGCGTGGGAGGTCGCTGAGGCGCTCGCCGTGGAGGGCGGCGTATTGCGCCGATCTGGTGACGCCAGTGGGTGTGCGAGCTGGAGGACGCAGGGCAGATCTGCACATCAGATCGGAGCCAGGAAGGCGGCCCGCCACCAGCGATCCGTGGGATCTGGCAGGAGGCCGGCGCGGAATGGAAGACGAGCGTCACCATGATGACGATGTGAACATGGATGCGCCGAGTGATAACGGCGAAGAAGAGCTCAACGGATCCCCCACTGCGTGGGGAGGCAGGAGGCGCGCTGGTGCCGATGGCGACAAATCCCCCAGTGGGCGGGGAGGCGGGAGGCGCGCTGGCGCCGATGGCGAAGAATCCCCCACTGCGCGTGGAGGCGGGAGGCGCGCTGGCGCCGATGGCGACGAATCCCCAATTGCGCGGGGAGGCGGGAGGCGCGCTGGCGCCGATGGCGACGAATCCCCCACTGCGTGGGGAGGCGGGAGGGGCGCTGGCGCCGATGGCGACGAATCCCCAACTGCGCGGGGAGGTGGGAGGCGCGTTGGCGCCGATGGCGACGAATCCCCAACTGCGCGGGGAGGCAGGAGGCGCGTTGGCGCCGATGGCGACGAATTCCAAACTGCGCGGGGAGGCGGGAGGCGCGTTGGCGCCGATGACGACGAATCCCCCACTGCGCGGGGAGGCGGGAGGCGTGCTGGCGCCAATGGCAACGAATCCCTGACTGCGCGGGGAGGCGAGAGGCGCGCTGGCGCCGATGGTGACGAATCCCCCACTGCGCGGGGAGGCGGGAGGCGCGCTGGCGCCGATGGCGACGAATCCCCCACTGCGCGGGGAGGCAGGAGGCGCGCTGGCGCCAATAGCAACGAATCCCCCACTGCGCGGGGAGGCGGGTGTCAGATTGTTTTAGTTGTCTAGCCTGCAGTGTGGTACTCTATAGCGAGTACAACCCAATTAGGGTTTCCTATATGTATGCCAACTGCTGCTAGTGCAACCTCTCTTCTTCATTCCTCATTCTTCACATGCTATCAGAGCATTTACGCTCCTGGCCTGTGGGCCCACCTAACTGCTTCCACTGCTACTCTGTGTGCTGCATGCCCCGTGGCGTGCGACGGAATTTTTCTTCCCGTCGGCCGCCCTCTTGTCGAGCACTCCTAGAGGCCCCTCTCACGGCCCCCTCGCGCGACCCTTAGCGGCCCCGTCGCCGCCCTTCTTGGCCCCTCGCGGCCCCTTCGCGGCCCCGTTGCCGCCCTTCCAGGCCCCTCGCGGCCCCTTCGCGGCCCCGTCGCCGCCCCTAGCGGCCCCGTCGCCGACCTTTCAGGCCCCTCGCGGCCCCTTCACGGCCCCGTCGTCGCCCCTAGCGGCCCGTCGCCGCCCTTCTAGGCCCCTCGCGGCCTCTTCGCGGCCCCGTCGCCGCCCCTATCGGCCCCGTCGCCGCCTCCAGCAGCCCCGTTGCCGCCCCTTGCGGCCCCGTCGCCGCCCCTTTCGGCCCTGCCTCGACCCTGCCCCGGCCCCGCCCCGGCCATGCTCCGTCGCCTATCGCGGCGCACCGGGGGCCCGTGCACCGCCCCCCCGGCGCGACCTTTCTCAGGTCTCCTCGAGAGGCGACGGGAGGAGCGACCTAGGGGGGGGGGGCGAGCGTTGCCCCTTCTGCCGCCTGCTTTGGTGCCCTGGGAGGCCGCGCGTCAGCCCCCCCCACCCCCCCCCCCCATAACCTCCCTACCCGCCATCCCACCCTGCCCTGTGTTAGGGTTTGGGGGTGGCGAGTAGGGGGTGGCAGGTGTGTGGTCTCCCTTGCTCCTCCTCCTCCTCTGTCTCCCACTGCTGCAGCTGCCGCTGAGGGGGGTGGGTGTGTGGGAGTCGACGGAGTGGTGCTAGGGGGTGGGGTGTAAGTGAACCTAGGGTGCAGCAGGGGGTGTGTGAAAGGGGGGTGCTGTGGGAGTGGAACTAGGGTTTGAGCAGGGGGTGTGTGACGAGAGGTGAGGGGCAGCTGGAGGAGGTTGTGTGAAGGTAGCTGACGTGTCACCTGCAGCGCCTGTAGTCCGTCGCCTCTGCTTCGGTAGCCAGTGAGCCTGTTGCACCAGTCGCCAGTGGGTCCGTTGCTCCTGCCGCTCGTCTATAGCCGCGGAGCCAGTTACTCCAGTAGTCTGTCGCCCTTGCTTCAGTAGCCACTGAGTCAGCCGCTCCTGTGCCCGTGCCTCTGCAGCTTCAGTCGTTGCCTCCCATCTTCTCTCCCTCCACAGTTCCTCCTCCTCCTCACTTGCCCGCTACGATTAACTCTAGCTTTGCTGGCTATTGTGAACTCCTGCTCTATGCCTGCTTGCTCATTGTGCTGATTACACCCCACTTTGGCTATGGGGGTGTGTCAGAATGTTATAATTGTCTAGCCTGCAGTGGGGTACTCTATAGCGAGTACAACCCAATTAGGGTTTCCTATATGTATGCCAGCTGCTGCTAGTGCAACCTCTCTTCTTCATTCCTCATTCTTCACAGCAGGAGGCGTGCTGGCGCCGATGGCGACGAATCCCCCACAGCGCGGGGAGGCGGGAGGCCAGAGAAGGTCAAGAGGGAAGTACCTGCAGCCGCACGGGGTGGTGGAACGCATGGAGAAAGAGTGGGAGGAGGTGACGGACGGAGGCATCGCGAAGAAGCACGGACGAAGGAAAGAGGAGGGAGGAAGGGAGAGTGCGTACTTGCAGGACTAAACGGGGAGGACGTGAAACACGGCTGGGACAAGGAGGTTGAGTGCCAGGCCAAGGAGCGCCAAGGGAGAGAAAGGAGCCAGGACGCATCTGCTGGAGCATTCCACTCGCCCGAGCCAAGGCAGGGGTATGACCTGAAGCGCCGTATGGCGAGAGGCGATTGGATAAGCTTGGGACTGCCAAGGAGAGGAGAGCGAGGTGGTGAGGAAGAAGACAGCTAGAGATCACGGGCAAGAGGAAGGGAACATGGGGAGGAATACCAAGGGGGACGAGGATTACCGCGCGCGTCAAGGGCAGATGATAGGAAGGGAGAAGACCAGCAGCGGCGAGAAAGAGTAGAGCGGGGAGGGCGATATCAGGGAAGTTCGCCTGCGAGGAAAGATAGGCTGTGGAGGGAAGCCGCCAGGCGCAGGGAGGTTCATGAGGAGGAGAGGAGAAGGAGCCCGAGTCCCAGGAGTTCGTGGAGGCCAGGGCAGGCAGGAGGAGGGTCCAGCGGAGCCAGAGCTGCAAGGGAAGGGATAGAACGGGTGTTATACGGGGGAAGCTCAGGAAGCCGGGGGATGAAGGAGCGCAGAGGAGAAGTCAGACACACAAAGCGAGGGATAACAGGAACCTGGGACGTAGGAAGATGGGGCACTCAGGCGCCGCCTCGGGTGGAGGTGCTTGTGCGCTTTACGGGGAATAAGGGGACAGGCACTAGCCTGAAGAATTACCTGATGCAAATTGGGTACGTCAAATACCGGTGCGATCGGGGAGGGATGGACCCCATTGACTTCTTTCTGAGTTTTCCCAACACCTTGGGAGGGAAGGCAGAGACTTTGTATCGCATGAAAATGCAGGAGTGGCTGAGGAGAGCAGAGGAGGATGGGGATGACCCAACAACTTTGTTCCTGGAGCGGTTGCGTAAAGAGTTCCCAAGACACACGCCGGACAGGATCAGAGAGTTTCAGGACTTCAAACGCAGGAAAGAGGAGTCGCTGCTAATGTACTGCGGGCGACTCATGAATCTAGCCGAGGATGTGGTGTGTACCGATACGAGCATGCTGATTAGTAAGTTCTTGGCAGGGCTGGATGACGGGTTAGCAGGAGGGCTAAGGATGAGGGTCTATGAGTTGGGGGCAGAAGCGACGTTGGAGGAAGTGTTTGAGCTAGCTGAAATGGTGGAGCTGGCACAAAGGCATTATAAGGCATACCTGCCTAAAGCAGCAAAGAAGAAACGACCCACCTGGGCAGCTGCGATGATACCAGGGGCAGGAAGCGGAAAGGAGCAGCGGCAGGAGAGGAGGACAGATACTAGGACGTGCTACAGATGTAGACAGCCAGGGCACGTGAAGATGAACTGCAAAAACTGTTACACATGTGGCAAACCAGGCCACCGCCGGCGGGAGTGCCCTGATGCGCTGATCTGTGAAGTGTGCGGAAAAACGGGGCATCAACAGAAAGACTGCTATCAGAAGACGGGAGGACCGAGAAGGTCACAGGAGGACATAGCAAACCAGATCGAGAAGCTGCAAGCGTGGTTGCTGGAGATGGGAGGCAAGAAGGAGAAGGAAGCGAGCTTGTATGCAAGAGAGGAGGAAGAGGAGGAAAGAGAGGAGGAAGAACGGTTTCCAGAACACACCTTTTTAGCAATGAGCTGCCGCGAAGACATGGGTCTGAGGAGTGGGGGAAAGGATGGGAGGAAGGAACACATGGTGAAGGAGAGAGGGAGACCGAAGCAGAAAACGGAAGAAAAGAGTGAAGGGGATGAGGAGCCAGCCAGGCATCCCAAGGACTGACTAGCCAGCCAAGTGACGGTGCTGGTGGCAGAAGCAGGAACAGTGAATGTGGGAGGGGAGATAGCGAAGACTGCAATCCTAGATACAGGGGCACAGAGCGTGATGCTGGGGAAACGGCTAGCACAGAAGCTGGGACTTACGGGACAAGGGCAGCACATAAAATGGGGAATGCTGGTTATGACTGCAGAGGGAGGCGAGCCCAAGTGGCTGCCATGCACAAAGACTCCAGTGGAGATAGTACTAATGCCGGGGAGGGAAGAGCAAACCAGCATACGACTACAGTGTGGGATCTCTGACTCCGAAGACTTCGATGTACTGCTGGGGACAGATCTGATCTGGGGCATGGGAATGACCATTTGTACATGGAAGGAGAAGGTGAAATTTCGGAAGCAGTACTGGTATCGGGGGAGCAAGATAGGAGAGTTGCCCGTACAGTTCGTCAGGCAGGAGCCAAGAAGGGCGTACACAGCTGACCAGGCAGGGATCAGGGAAAGAGGAAGAGCAGGATTAGTGGGCAAGGCAGCGGAAGCCAATGCTTGGCAGGAGCTGATAAAGCTGGTGGAGTTATTCGGAGGCATAGGGGCGGGACTGGCGGCGGTACTCAAGGCGGGAATAGGTGTGAGGGAGTGGATATATGTGGAAAAGGATGAGAAAGTGAGAAAGATGGCTGAACATCATGCAAGGAAGCTGCAGAGAGAGTATCCGGAGCTTCTGGAGGAAGCAGTAATAGCAAAGGCAATGCGGGGGACATTGACTGACGTGAGGAACATCACACAGGAAGTGGTGCGGGGCTGGGAGCCCGTGGACCTGCTGGTAGCAGGCTGGGAATGTCAAGCAGTCTCGAGAGGGGGGAAAGAGAAGGGATTGGGAGACCCAAGGGGAGCACTACTGGTCAACCTGCTCTGCATCATCGATTGGATCAGAGAAGGGCAAGAGAAGGTGGTGTACCTGCTGGAACACCGGGATCTGGAAGGGGACTGCAAAGAACCTGTGAGGAAGGTCCGGGAGCTAGTGACAAGGAAGCAGGGGAAAGGAGTGAGATGTGACGCGGCGAGGCTGGGGGCACGAGTTCACCGTGTTAGACGATACTGGCAGAATATCATAATCGAGGAGCAGCTGCAGAGGGAGCTGGATGGGATACGTAGGGACTGGAGCGGGACTGTGCAAGAGATCCTAGAGCTGGGTAGGACAGCAGCGCCAGACAGGAAGGGCAGACATGAGACCCAGTGCCCGTGCAACAAGGTGGGGGCAGAACGCAGGGCGTGGCCAACATTGGTGGGGTACAAGGGGGCAGCCGGGTTCAGGGAAGACGACGGGGTACCAGGAGAGGGCATGGTTTATGATCACAAGACTAAGAGGTGGGAGGAACCAACGGCACTGGAACGGGAGCTGGCATTGGGGTACGGAGAGGAGATAACCAAAGCAGCAGGAGTGACAGAGCAAGAAAGGAGGAAGGCGTTAGGACAGGCGATGGACGGACAGGTTATGCAGTGGCTTTTGCGGCGGATGTGGAGGGGGCTGGTTTTGGGAGAGGA